TGCGCAAAGCTGTTCAAACTTCAAAGCCCATGACGACAGTTGCCAAAGATCGTAAAATATATCCAGCACGCCATATATATAAATATACATCGGAAAAAATTGGCTCTTAATCGTCTATTCTTTCTTCTTCTCCGGCGCCGATTTTAATCCTTCAAATTAAAACCTACGAATCACTGAAACATCCTCAAAGCACTGAGCTCACACAAACACAAATTCATGGCTTTTCATTCTCACCCTCTGGATTTTGCCCATTAAAACCCTCCTAAACTCCACTATTCCCCTCTGTATCCTTCAATTTCACTAACACATTTTAGTTAAGGGAATGTCTAATTCGGGTGGGTTTGCTGTGATCCGTACCCATTTGGGGGACCGCTTCTACAACCCGCCGCCAGTGAGGCGGCACCAGCAACTGTTGCTGCTGCAGCAGCAGCAGCAGTTGCAGAAGCAGTTACAGAGGCCGGTAAGGAAGGAGAGCAGAGTCAACTCCGCTGATGTGGCAACGGATCCTCGGACTGATTCGGATGATTCCACATTGTCCAGGCCTGATTCGGGTTACTCCGCTTCCTCGCCGACAAGTTCTAATTTGACCAATTTGGATCGGCTCATGGAATCCGTTACTCCATTTGTGCTGGCTCAGTACTTCTCTGAGGTAGCTTTTCTGGTCTTGCTCTGTTTGGTTGCTTAGAAGAGTAGAGAAATGAACTTCATAATAATATTAATGTTGCTTTGCTTGGAAATTAGATTTAGCTTATCGAGGTTAAACACATGCTAAGATTGGCTAGGACTTATGGAGGGAATTTCCCTGTTTTCTTGTTGAAGTTTTAATCTAGTTGTATTTGCTGTAATTCTTTATATAAGTATAGAATTTCCTGTATTTGTTCAGGGAAGAATGAGGGGACGGAGAATGCGTGAAGTGGATATTCAGCCATTCTTTAGTCTTGGGGATCTATGGGAATGTTACAGTGAATGGAGTGTATATGGAGTGGGAGTACCCCTATTGTTGAATGGTAGTGAATCTGTTAAGCAGTACTATGTTCCTTCCTTGTCTGGCATACAACTGTACATAGACCCTCATAGACCCAGGTGAGATTCTTCCTATATTCCCAGCTCATTTTCTCAACTCGAGTTATTAGTTTTTGTGATCCTTGTTTCTCCATTTACAGCAGATATACTTGGTTGCCTCCACAATGATTTGCTGTAGTTGTTCTTTCAAGGGCATGGAAAAATGGAAGCTCTTGTTTTCTTTTTCTCTACTTTTGTCCACCAAACATGCTAGATGTATACGATTATTGAAATTGTTTCTTGACATCGTTTATCTCATTGCGTGTAATGTTATTTCTTAGTCCACATACAATAATTATGTTAGTGTTGTGTTCTTCATATCAAACCTGTCAGATGTAATCAGTTGGGGCATATATGACAGTAAGCTCAGCAGATATTCTTCATTGGCTTTGCTTAAAAAAGTGACTTGACACAAGCAGCCTCCACTGCATCAAGTACTTAACCATGCATCTGGCAAATCTGAACTTGGGTATCTATTTAGCTGTGTCTGATGCCTTTAATCTGATATTATGTTGTACATATATGAAGAATTTGTCTTTTAAATTCCCCAACTGTTGAGTCTAAAAGGAGAAAGGTTTTGTAACTAGTATTGCTGTTTTTTCTGGAAATCTTCCGTAAAATTTTATCAGGAGGCCTGGTGAGGATACCGAGGCTGAGTCTTCGAGGGAAACAAGTAGTGGTGGCAGTAGTGACTGTGCAGCAGAAAGGCAGTGCAGAAGTGGTTTTGATGGAGCATGGGGTCAGCTCAATATCATTAACTCTAACTCCCAGAGAATGAACAGACTTACATTAAGAGATAAACCTCCTGTGAGTTCATCTAGTGATGAAGCCGAGGTTTCCAAGTCACCTGGAATGCTGGTCTATGAATACTTTGAGCAAGAACAACCCCATCAACGAAAACCTTTATATGACAAGGCAAGTCCATTTAATGGAATTACACATGCCAAGCTCTCTCTCTTTCAATGAGAGTTTTTTCTAACTGGATGCTTGTGGTGTCTATTTCTGCTTCATGTTGACCCTTTCCACCTGCAGATTCTAAGTCTCGCAGGTCAATTTCCAGATTTAAGAAAATACAGGAGCTCTGATCTATTGCCCTCTAGCTGGATATCAGTGGCTTGGTGAGATTTCTTGTTCTATGAGGGTTAGATGTTGGATTGATGACCTAGTTCTGTATTCATCTAATTTTATGGTGCTTTGCATGTTAATTTTGGTTAGGTATCCAATATACAGAATACCAATGGGTCCAACACTACAGAACCTGGATGCATCTTTCTTAACCTTTCATTCTTTGTCAACACACTCTAGAAGTATGTTTCTCTCCCCCATATGCTGGTTAATACAATGGGATCACATCATTTTCCTTATAGAGTTGTGATTTCATTGTCTTTTATTACTAGTACAGGCAAAAATCAGCTACAATATCTACCTTCTGGAGATTGGAAGGTCAGTGGTGTTGATGCATCTCCAAAGTTTTCCTTACCTGTCTTTGGTCTTGCTTCCTATAAATTGAGGGGTTCAATTTTGACTGCCAATGGAGGTCGTGAATGGCAGCAAGCAAACTCCCTAATGCAAACCGCTGACAATTGGCTTCAGCATTTGCAAGTCAATCTTCCTGATTTCCAATTTTTCGTCTCACATAATTCACGGTGGAGATAAGAGGGTATGAATTTCCTTTAGCTCACTTTTGTGTACACGGAGAAGCCCACGGTGTTGGCTAGGGATAGGAATTAGTTGAAGATAAGCTAACCTTGCCTGAACCTTCCTAAGAAACAAGCTTGTTTTTGGCCTTATTATGATTCTGTAAGTTCTTGGTTACACATCAACACCCAGAGAGAGACAAAGGGCGTGCAGTTTCTGTAAGATTTGATTAAGAAACAAGGTCAAACATGCAACTAGACACTATTAAAATTGTCGGATGGGGCTTGAGGCACTTGTTTACTCCTTTCCAGGCGGGGTCTAAGGAACTGTGATCATTATATTAAACCAACATGCCCCCTTATGTGTGTATTGGGTCACTCAAAGCTCTTTTGATCTTGGAAAACTAGGTAAACTGCCGACCATGCTTGTTTCTGAGTCCTTGTAATACTTTGTAACCATTCGACAATGGTGATGAGAATCGAAAACGTCCACTACACGTGTTTGCACGTATATACTCCTCATACTTCGTATTTTCCAGAGAAAGGGCAATACACAGATTCATCAGAGTTCCTATAGTTGGTCATTATATTAAAGTGTGGATTGTTTGTTTATTTCATCTGGTCAAGTTTGGATGGCAAACCCAGATAAAAGCGGCAAGTTGGGAGCAACAGATTTACAATGTCCATGGTGAATTGTTTTTCTATGCGAGTGACATGGCCATCCGCTGGTTTGAGTGGCATGATGCAATTTAGGAAAGTGTGTTTGTTTGATGGCACTAATAATTTTATGTATACAGTAACTGAAACACCATTTAAGGTCAATAATACAACAATCACCAGCCCCTCACAATCCCAGCAACATGAAATACACGTCAGTAGCATGAACAAGATACGCTTGCAAGAGGATAAGAACGGAAATTGGATACTTGCATTATGCACAACAGTCTGGAACAATAGGACATAATGTCTGACTCTGTTATGGCACAATTGACCACACTGTGAAAGTAAATTATACCTAACTACTACATCTACCCACTTTCTCGATGTATCATCTTATGATTCAACAGAGATAACATCAATAATGAACTTGTTACTTCGTAAAAATCTGAAGCAGACAACGGTTACTGCTATAATGTCTTGTTCATAGGTCATTGTCCAAGATGGTGGACAGCAATAGTCCCTGTAAAAATTCACACTTCTTGGCCCTCTCCATGAGGTTCTTGTTCGACAAAGGAGATGGGTGGACAGTTCTGTAACCATAGGACTTCCATCAAATTCGAGTTAAAGGGAAAAACTAGAGAAGAAAAATAAAATCAACATCAAGGTAAAAACCCATAATCCGACGGCATCAATTTAAAAAGGCAGTGAGAAAGAAATTCTCAGATTACAAAAGGTCACAAAGCATGTCAAATCAAGAGGAAAAAAAAAAGGCACAACAAATCAGAAAACCTATTTCTAGTTAAGTAGGCAAGCAACCTTGAAACAACATCACATCGTTTTGGTTCTTTTTGTGCTTCACGGTTTTCCAACTATTCTATTCTCCTTTTTCAACTCAGTAAGAGTGGGATTATCTCTTATTCATAAAAACACATTTTTGTTCTATCACATTATTTTTTGGTACTAACCACACCCCCCCCCCCCCCCTTCCCCCTTCCCCCTTCCCTTGTACCCCGTAGTGCGTGAGGCTCTCACTAATTTGGAGTCAAGCACATCAAACTCTATAAGGGGGATGCTTTCCCAGTGCCTATGTTTTTATTCACAAGACTCAAACTCAAGACCTTGTTTAAAGGGAACCAAACTTCTTTTACTCAGACCAACAGGTTGTTGGTGATCTATCACATTATTTCTACTACTATAACTCTCTAGATTGCTCCATGGTTCCTAATAAAAATAAATTGTGCTACCACATCCAAGGTTCAACTCCTCAGGTATCTTAGAATAAGTTGACTTGTTACTCTTCACCAGTATTGTATGATCATTAGCAAAACCAAAAACTCAACCATCTAAATCAGCAGTCCAGCATTCCATAGTAGTAGCAATCCTCATTCCCATCTCTCAATCACTCAATGTCCTCAACTCATTTAAATATTTATTTCCTTCATAATTAGACATTTCTGGAATAGATGTTAACAGATTGTTTCGGCTTAACATTCATCACCAGACAATTTTCCAAAAATTATGCAAGCAGAAAAGACAAAATAACCTAAACAGCTCTACATAATTATAAAACATAAATCAAACAACTTACTTCTCCAAATTTTTCTCGTCTGAGTTAGTTTCCTCTAAGCTCACTTCAGTTGAAGTGGCAGTTGGCACACTCTTAGAACAATCAGGAGGAGCTTTGTAGAAAAGAAATGAAAGCAATGGATCAGGTGCCATCTTGGAGGAAGAAATTGTGGATGATGACCTAGAAAGAAAGGGCTGAAAGGGCTCATCATGGAACTCCTTCTTAAAGGAAGGAAGAATTGAACCTTTATGATGCATCAATCTGTGACGACTGTAATCTATTGTCAAGGAATGCAGATAGTGAACCTTAAACCACTGTCTTGGACATACAAAGCATAAAATATGATGGTTTTTTAGGGATAAAACCGGAGGTGTCAGAAACCTTCCAAGCAAAATGAAATAAACTATAAAAGGATAATTAATATTAAGATGAAAGGAAAAAAGAAGTAACAGATTCAAACTCAAACAAGTTAAAAGGATATCTTTAAAATGTTTCCATGCTGTGTTGTTATGTGTCCAACCATATTCATACCCACCTTTGTAGCACAAACAGGGCATACCTGCCAGTGAAAATTGAAGTCCAGCATCACATGCTTAAATTAAAACAATGAAATATGTCCGAGAAAATTTTCATGAATAGGAATAGTAAGACTTATCACCACCAAAACTTGTTCCAAACAACCTAAAAAAGGAACTAACACATACTTCTCAGGCAGCAATCATGATATATAAAGAAGTTTATTAATTATAAGAAAAAAGAGGCGAAAAAACCAAATAGAAGGAACTCATACAGTAGCTGAGCCAGAAGTAGAGGTAAATTTTAAAAGCTTGTTAGAATAAACAGCAAAGGAATAATCTATATTGCCAAATTATAAGTAAGTATTTGAGATTCAAGTTATTGTTCCTCAGTTCCTTTAACTGATGCACTGTAACTCAAGTCTCAAAGCCTCCATTTCAGACTCTTTTCCATTTGGCCATAAAAATTAAAAAAAAAATAATAATCATAATAATAAAGAGGAAAAAAAGCCTCTTTTCCATCAATAAGAAACAAAACCCATTTACTCATTTAGAGATAGTAAAAACAATCCAATTAACGATCAATTCTAAGAATCCTCTTCAAATCCAAAATCATTACTTCCTTCTGATTCCCCAACACCACTGATACTTCAAGAGAAGAAAAGAATAGGAAATCTAAATAATAAAATGGGTATCTCTCTAGCTAACTTTGACCAAATAACTAAAAAAAAGAAACAAATTCAGATGGAAACACGTACCCCAGACTGAGCTTCAACAGGATGCTCTTCATCAATATGGCAGCGCAATCCAAGTTTATCAAAATCCTCAGAGCAAAATGGGCATCGATATTCAGTCCTCAACTCATCATCATCTTCAACATCTTCAAAATCAACGCAAAGATCTATTCCCAGCAACATAGATGAATTCCCCATTCACAACACAACCAAAATCAACCTTATCAACAACAACAAAAAAAAAAAAAAGGAATCCCAAAAACGAAAAACCCACGATGCAAAATAAACATACTTACCACTCTGTGACTTAAGGCCCAACTGGTAGCTCCTTGAGACACCCAAATTCCATGTTTCATCCTCCATTGAATTTAACTCCCCACAGCTTCGTTTTTCCTCAAGCAAAAAACTTGACCCGATTTCCCTACACCCAATTGCCAATTCTTAATCTCCTTTCCTCTTCCTTTAGGATAAAGAGCCTCTTAAGCAGCAAAAGTTCTTTGGAGGAGCATGCCCTTTTAAGGTATGAGGTTGGGATTCTTAATTGGCACGAATTCTTGGTGGGAAATTACCATGGACTCCCGCGTATTATCATGAACTACTCGCATGACCAATGGACAAGAGGATTCTCGATTCGGAAATTTTTTTAATTACTATAATGTCCAGTAAAGTTCGAGTTTACTACGGAACCCATAATCATCCTTCGAGTACCCACTAGTGTTGTTGTCGTCGTCTTTTTCTTTGTTTTTTTTCTCTTTTTTTTTAACATTAAGGAATGGGAATATATTTTTTTTAATTGTTAATAAGAGTTGAATTTTAATTAATTAAATTTAAATAATTAAAATTTTAAAACGGATTATTTGGTTTAAAGTTTTGGTTTTTTTATTAATGATTTAAATAATTTAATAATTATTTTATTTGTTGAAAGTAAAAAATTTTAAATTTAAATTATATAATATAAAAAAAAGGTACGATAAGAAATGCCTGAAATGGAAAATGATTAACTGCCATCAGTAATCAAGATAAAAAAATTAAAAAAAAAAGTTTCGGTTCTTCTGTTGTAATTTTTGCTCTTGGATTTTTGTCGTTTTTTGATTTTTCTAAGGAGGTCGACTTGGCGGTGGGATAAGATTCTCTTTACTCTATGTAGAATTACAGACATGTCCAATTTTCCGTGTATTGTTTCAAACATGTCCGAGATTGAAAACAAAAAATAATTGGAAAGAAGAGAGAGACTAATTTATTCTTATTTAATAATTAAAATTATATAATTAAAATTATAAAATAATATTTATTTGTTTTATTTTTAAAAAAA